ATGTTTCTGTGTACCACGCAGCTTCCATAAGTTACGCATTAACTAGGTACCTACCTAGCTAGGTGCTGTACACCTGCATTTGATATGTACCTGATTGTACTTAGTACAGTCTGTACAGGTGGTGCCAGCAGCAGCCAAAGAGGAGCTCCAAGCTTTAGTAGGGCCCAGGAGTTGACAGAGTTGACCACTTCTCAGTTGCTCTGCTTAGCAGGTTTCAGCTCGCGCAGTGCCAGGGCACTTGTGGCGGGAACAATGGATCGCCTTAGGCTCTGCCCTGTGGCAGCTAGAGTAGCTCTTTGGCGGATGCCCTTCGTCCTGCTCTGCATAGGGCTGCTGGTTGGCAGGGTTCAGGGGGCCATCAGAGAGCGCAAGTATGATGACAGGTGAGCTTTTCGCAGCTGCACATATTTTGCGCCTCTCTGTCTTGAGCTCTCCGTTCAGCTTCGTTCTTTTACAAGGAGGTATAAGAACCGTGATGTTGGACGTACACATGCCAGAGCTCACTTCAATTTCCATTGCTTTGGACTGATATTGTTCAACACCTTCAGCTGTGTTTGTCAATCAGCTCAGAGACATCAGTGCACTCGATATGCAAGTGGTTAATGGAGCACAGCAATGCAAAGCACCGATTGTTGCTTGCCTGAGCTCTATCAAGTATATGCTTTTGAAATCTTGGAGTGCTTGTATCAAAACCTAGCTTTCTCTATGGCCCCTCAAAATCTCACCGCACTTTTGATACGGTTGGCCCCTCAACATATGCTGTTTCCAGACAAAGAGCTTGTACATGTAAAAGGAAACGTTTTGTCATAAGTGACGCCCATGACCATCGCATATGAAGTATGCCCCCAGCTTTCTGCTGCAAAGCTCAATCACAAAAATCGTGACTTCGACCACAATCTGCCAAGTTTTTCAAACCAATCCTCACTCTGCTAAGTCTTTCTTACAGGGGTTGCGCACGTTCTGCAAAGCACCCTCTCTAGATTCCATGCAAAATTTCACCACTGTCGCCCATATCCAACACTCCTTATCAGTTGTGCACCACCCTTTCTGCTCTGTTTTGTTCGTTTCCGGGTCTTGGGTTTTGGGGTCCTGGCATTGGAGAGGGAGTAGGAAGGGATTGCGATAATAAAACATTCCAGCGGTGCTTACGTACAACAGTGATATTCGATTTTAAGGTACCATACAAAGGGTAAAACTATACGGATTCTGTAGTAAACTGTATCATCAAGCAACGATGGCACGAATTGCAAGTATATAATTGGATGATTTATTGTTATCTGCCGTTCGCTCCAGAAACTCTTGACAACACTGACCCCCAGATCCTAACTGTCATTTGGCCTCTTCTCGCATAACCAGGCCCAGAATCTATACCATCCTCTCCCGCCGAGTGGACCGACATGGATAACGAACCATTGTCTTCAGTATATCAAGTGTCTCCATGGGTTCAAAAATCTCAGGATTGAACAGAGCATAAGCGGAATTTTGAAATCTATGTATGCAGGATTCACACCATCTTCTCTGCCGAGTGCAACGACTACATGGACTGGCAGACCCTCGCGCTGGTCTACAGCCACCGCCGCGTCGGCCAACCTGGGCCGATCACCCGCCTGCTCTCCTGTAGCACCGAAGACCTCGCGAAATACAACAACCTCCATCTCGCCCCGACGCACGTCGTCCCCTCGTTCAAAGTCCACCCAGACTCGGGCGATTGGTACCCCCCTTACAATAAGCCGCTGGCAATCCGGCACTGGTTGGAGTTCGTACGTCCGAAGGCGGAGTATATCATTATCTTAGACACGGACATGATCTTCGTGGAGCCGATCATCCCGTGGGAGTTGGGTGCGCGGCGCGGCCGCCCGACTGCCAGCCACTACAATTACCTCATCGGGTGCGACAACGAGCTCGCGGCAATGTACACCAAGAACCCGCACCTGTGCCAAAAGGTCGGCGGGACGCTGCTCTTCCACGTCGAGGACTTGAAGCAAGTGGCGCCGCTGTGGTTGAGCATAACCGAGGACATGCGGACGAATCCCAAGGGGTGGAAATACGCGCACGACTCGGGGGACGACTCAAAACCGCACTGGATCCTCGAGATGTACGGGTACGTTTTCGGGGCGGCGGAGGTGGGTCTGATTCACCACATTCGCAACGACCTTAACCTGCAACTGTTCGTGGGGACCGAGACGGGAGGCCTTGTTCCGAAGCTGTTGCACTATACGCTGACTATTGGGGCGGGGAACTGGGCCTGGGACAAGGCCCCGTACTTTGCCCGGAAACTGCTCGGAAACTGCCGGCTGTTCGAGCAGCCGCCGGACCCAGCGACCCTTGTGGAAGCCAACGAGAACGTCCGGCAGGTACGTTCATAAATTACAAAACACGCTTTTTGCTTCAGATTCAAAACTGTGGACTCTTTCCCGGACAAACGTAGCTTTAGTTAGAGAGAAAGAGAACATGTGAACTTTGGCAAATCTAGCCGATCCGTGCACTTTTAGATGGTCTGCTCAGATATGATTGGTACTCCTCAAGAATCCATTATGTTTTGCACGCCGTCCAGTCCAAAATTGCGTGCGTTTGACCTTTTACTGCTTGCACTCGGTTCGGAGATGCGCCTCACTGCGTATACTGAGGTTCCCCTGGGTTCGAATGTCGCTGGAAGCAAAAGCCAGAGGTAGTACAAGCTCTCCAGCCGTGCACCTGTCAGTTTGACGTTGATCCAACGGCTTGGATCGTGCCCACAGTGTTCGCCTTAACGATTTGGGCAATAATAGGGCTGAGTTGAAAACGCGCTCTGTATCAAGTCAGTTTGCAGCTTTCGATTTCGTGACGCCTTCTTGACGGTCCAGATGAAGAAGAAGCGACAGCAACTCTTTTCGCGCTTATCACATGTCACTGTCCAGTTCGCTTCTAGCAGTCGTTCTGGACAAGAGCGAACTCAGGCGGCGTACGTCTGAGAACCCCACAGGTCTGAGAGTCGCCATTAAACGTCGTTCTCTTGACTAAGAAGGACAATCTTTCTCTCCAGGGCATGATCTACATGATCGACGCCATGAACGTGATCAATGCGGCTCTCGAGGAGTACTACGAGGCGGTCGGCTGCACGCCCATCGGCGACTGGCAAGAGCCAAGCGCGGAGGCGAAGGCGAAGCCCGCGACTGACGAGCGGAAGCTGCCGCCGGTGTCGACGAGGCTGTGGCCGGGCGCGCAGGAAGCGCCCAAAAGAATGATATGCGAAGGCTGGGCCTGCGGGTTCCTTCCGACCGCTCATACAACGAGTTGACTTGTGCACGCATGATGAGGGCTAGTGGGTTACGGAGTCCGGCGTCTCCACAGTACAGTATGTAGAAAAGGAAAATATTTCCATGCAAACCTGTAAGGCATGCCATCAATACCGTCAACCTTAATTTCTCATCCATGTTTTTGCCGTCAAGGCAAAGATGATGCCTTCGGCGAAGCTCGCAGAGTTGAATTATTCGTGGCAAGCTCCGTACAGTCGCCAGGCCGTTTTCAAAATGGCCTGCAACGTGCCAGCTGGACAAGATTGAGGAACGCAGCGTCCTGAGTTTGAAGAAATTGAAGTTCGGTACTATGCGCTGCCAGTTGTCTTTGTGTATCTCGAGCCTTCCCGCGCAGCGCTTTGTCCAGCTGTACGTGTACTTCACATGGGCAAGTTGTTTGAGGGCGCGCCGCCTAAGGGCTTACACGGCGCAGGACACTGGTACAGAATTACAATGTGTCCTTAATATGAGCTGTCGTCATGATGATTAAGTACAATCTTGGAATCATGCACTTAGCAGGTCCTTGAATCCACTCATTAGAGGCGCGAGAATCTGCCGCTAGCTAGCTAGAGCGGCAGGAACAAGACTTATTGGCGAGACGGCGCGGATCTCATTGAAAAGCGCATTCACCCAAAGTTTAGGGTGCTAGCCTAGTGAGTCATATACATAAACTCTGCACATGTGTGAACTCAAGCATGCCGTTTGTTCACGAGCTCTGAATCTGGTCTGAGCTTCTAAGCCCAGCTCTTTGAGAATAAGGAGAGCGCACTTAAGGATCAGTTCCGTAAGCTAGCTTAAGAAAGTACACCTCTGATGTGGCGGCCCGCCCCAATTCGCCCGCTTTTCGAAAAACAAGTGACAATGATGACATGACCAGTCTTTAGTCTGATGTGTTGCTTAGAACCACCTTCGAAGAAATTTTTTGAGAAGAAAGTTGAAGTCAGAGGCCCCCACGTATTGCCAGTTGTGGTAATCATTAAAAGGATCTATGCATCTATACTCGACAAGCCCTACTTCCAGCGAAAACCCCTGTGACTCCGAAACAGGCGGATCCCACGCCGGCAGGGGAGCCACACGAGCCCAGGTTTCGAGGCTTCCATCAGCATGAGGATTCTCGAAATAGCATCTCAAGCGCATTACACTCTGAAAGGAGTCAAACTTTCTCCCATCTTTGTCCTTCACGGTCGCTTTTGCTTCCAAGCGCAGATGGTAGGGTGCCTCGCGCCGGGCGCACCCAGCGCTACACATACGGGAAGGTCGTGCGCCTTGATCTTTCACAGTCACCGGCTCCCTCTCTAGCAAAGCCTGCATCGCCCCGTCAGCCTTGCGCATGAGCCTCCAAGAGAACAGCATCACGTCCTGTTCGAGCAGCTTCACCCGCTCTGGGGGGGCCTCAGATGTGAAATGCATCTTACAGTGGTTTCGACTGACCTCCTGAAAAGCGGAGAGGATTTGTTTCCTGAGCTCCCGGTTCGTGCATCCCCTCCACAACTGCCACACATCTGCGATCTCCAAGAAGGTCAAACTCCCAGTCTTCCTGGCGGCCTTGGAAGCTCGGAGCCATCTCGCTGCCCTCCGATGAGGAGAACAGACGGGCCTCCCCCCTGACGTGAACGTCCATCAGCATGACGTATTCTGACTGTTCCAAAGTGGTCGTTCCCTTGTTACTGCAGGTGCATTCAGGTTGGCTTGAGCTGGAAGTCAACTTGTCACACTGGTTGTTTCCCAACTTTGCGTACAGTGTTTTGTAGCTGACACCACGTTCTGAGCCATAGTGTGCGCGCACAAGCTCACTTGCTGGAGAGGTCGTGAGGGAGGGGCATTCACGCTCGCACCAGGTCTTCCACATTGAGCTTTCATTGATCAATCCCCTCAGCGTCTTGGAAGCGACAGCCACCTTGCACGCCTCGTCTGGCGTGAGGAAGCCCAACACATAGTCGAAGAGGTGCGCGTTTAGGGCCTCCATCTCTCCTGCTTCGCGGAGCCACCGGTCTTCGCTATCCTGAAAACAAAAGCTGATCTTCTCCGTTTTAATGCTGCAGGGTTTTTCACTGCACTCCTTGACGTTCTTTAGCTGATGCAGCGCGCGCTACTTCGCTGATGAAACAGAAGTAACAAAGAATATAAACTAAGATTCCAGTTGCAGGTGTGCGGCTACATGCGTGGAATACCAGTTGATCACATTTGATCAGATAGTTCGATGAGAAGAGTCTACGCCTTGCACTTGGCGCCACCGATCTCGGCGGCCGCGGTGCGCACGGTGGGTTTCATGGGCGAAACCCCAAACCCGCTTTCGCGGCTTCGAGGAGCCTGGCTTAGTCGGCCGCGGGTTAAGGCCGACGACGAGCGCGCGCGCGGTCCGCTGCGCAGCCGGGCCGCTTCCGCGCGTATCCGAACTAGTATGGCGACGAGCCATGGTCCTTTGAAAAATGACCCTCCATGGCGCTTTTTCCAATATCACAGCAGCCGGGCTCCGCCTAGACGCATTCGCCAGTCGGCCTAAGGACTCTGAGAGCGTTGGTAGATCGAAGCTCTCTCTGTGAGTGCGACTACTCTCTGTGAAGACTTCGCCTGCAGAGGAGCTCGTGAACGCGCTACCTAGATCGACTATTTGCCAGCTAGTCATCTTAATGATCTGGCGCCGAAAGATTCTCTGAGACAAGAACGCAAGAAGGAAACGCCTACAATCGTTCCATCACTTCAATCTGCGCGCCCAAAAGTGCCAGGTACGTCTTCATCCATGCACCCATGGTCAGAAAGATAATCCTTGTCCGACGTACAATGAATCTATGTTAGTCCTCTAGTACTTGTTTACGGGTATTTTGCAAGCCTCAACCCACCGGGCCGCTCGGTTAACGGTACGCTCTGTTAGAAGTACAGGATACTGCGCTTCGATTGAGCACGCACTGACGTTGCAGAAAAAGGTAAAAAAAATAGCGCGCTTACAGCATGTCACGTAGGGCGCGGCTGCGCATTCCGAGCCTAGCTGGCCATCTGACTCCAAAAACCTGTCAAAATAAGATCTGTTTGAAGGAGATGGTGAAGCCTTCTTAAGCACGGCCACGCCTAAACCATTGAAGTGTGGGAATCATGCTGCCAAAAATTTTGCCCCACTGAGCGGGATTAATCTACGTCAGCTCATGTACTTGCCGCGGGAAGGCCGCATTCTTTTTGCCGCAATTAATTAATGGTCCTGACAGCAGCTTGCTAACCGTCTTTCAACTTGGATCATTATCAAACGTCATCAGAGCAAGTCCATGGATATCCGTGGCAGGCAGCGCTGACCGTCAATCAAACATTCATTTGTCGGACTCCAACAGTCCGCACTGCAGATTGAAATGCAGTAACCTGATCTGACCCGTACACAGTTCGTACGCATGCGCTATACAATGTCTGTATATGTCAGCGGCAAGCACATATGACGGTCATGGCGTTAATCTATAGATGCAAACACGCATTTTTGAACAAAGCATGCCTGATCAACTCATCACCAACGTGTCAACTCAGAAGTTTCTTTCCAGCCACGTTTCCAACCTTCACGGAAAAATGCAGGAGACACCTTTGAGCTAGCGCCAATATTTCTGCATTCCGTCGGACCACGTACTGCATCGAGGTACATGATGTCAAATGTACCTTTCGAGCACCCTCATAAAGAACCGATGCGATGGTATACAACAGTTGGGCCGATTTTCGAATACCATCCAAGAGTCCCGTCCTCTGCCAAAATTCTGCCTAGTTTGGCACAGATCAGTAGCACCAAACTCTAATATGTTCCCCAATATAGTCGACACTAGTGGCCCCCTGAATACTGCGCGTATCCTTGCTGGCCTCCATACCCACTCCCGGGGGCCCAATCTCCGTGCCCAGCCCACTCTGCGGACTGTGACTGAGGCGCCCCCGGAGGTGGCGGGGGCGGCGCTCCAGGGGGCGGCGGTGGCCCGGGGGGCGGCGGCGGGGGTTGCCCCTGTGACCAACCGGAGCCCCATGTGGTGTTGTAGGGTTGGCTGGAATCACTTGGCTGCCAGTCTTGATGACCGTTGTGATAATCTGGAGAGGTAGATTGGAAGACAGTTGTATTTGCGAGTCGCATCAATGTATCGCCCGAAGTCCGGCGAAGCACAGAAGAACCGAGACCCTGATTGCGTGAGTTTTCGAACTTTGCGAGGGTGTTCAGAGGGGAAACGTGGGCTACCGAAACGAGTCTTCGAAGCAAACGTGGCAAAACATTTACTGTCAACTCTTCAAAGGTCGAGAAAGGCTCTTATGCAGCTTAGCAAAACCAACCCTGTAAAGAGGACACACGCGGGTACCCCCCGCAAAGAAAAAGCAAAAAATGGGTTTTCTGCTCACCTGGCTGCGGGGGCCGCGGTGCGCCTTGATCCCACCCTCCCGCTTTCTGAGCGTGTCCCTGGGGGGGTCGCTGTAACGGGAGGGGCACAACAGACGCCGGAGCTCTCCGAGGGGGGGCTGCTTCCTGTTGAACCACCGGGTCGTTGATGTGCTTCTGGAAGTACTGGACTAAGCGGTCGGGGCTGCAGAGGAAAATGAAGTGTTTCAGAAAAGGGCCCACGCTTGATTGCGTGCTGAGTAACAGTCAGTATCAACAGGAGCGGGCAGTATTTCCCCTCGTAGAGAGCAGGTGCCGGGAGGCGTTGGCCCCACAACAGAGTTGCTGACGTCCGTAAGTCGGGTTTTTCGCCACGGCTACCAGCTTCAGTAGGCAGACTCTTTGCATTTTGCTGGACTATGCGGCATCGCTGGTGCACATCGTTGTTATCTAGGTTTGACGCGTCATTGAACACTACAACACATGAGCCCCCAAAATGCTGAACGCAGATTAAAACCCTAAGCTCCTCAAGCCGTCTGAATTGTGGCAGCTCAATGCAAACGCTCGCTTCGATTTGTCAAGTGCTGTTGCCAGAAGCAATTCCCTTGCGCGCAATCACGCTGTACTCGCAGGGCGACTTCTGGTCTTGTGTATATGTCCTTTCAGATCAAAGACAAACACCCGACATTTGGAGAGCAGAAGAACCCTAAGCCTCTAAAATGCATCACAGCTGAACGCAAAAGCTCGTCAACCCTCACCTCGTGAAGTGCTGATGCCGGAAGCGATACCCCTTGGACGAAATCGAGATGTACTCGTGGTGCGGGTTTTGGTTCCGAATGTATGACAGCATGAACGCGCCCGCGTGTTGTTGGCTGACAGAGATCGCGTATGCGACGCGCTGCGGGTTTTGCGCTTTCTCGCGCTTCAGCAGCTCGTCGACTTCGTTTTTGGTCCCGGCCTTGAACTTGCGGTACTCGAGCATCTTGCGGAGGAAGTCGACGAAGGGGTCGATATACCGCGCCATAACCTGCGGGGTTAAAAGGTTTGATTAGTACTCCCACGGCTCCTTATGGGTCTAGGCTCATTCGGGAGACCCGGATGAATATTGGTTCGGAGCAGGTGTGGTTCTAGACGAGGTACTCAAGCATCTTGCGCAGGAAGTCGACGAACGGGTCGATGTAGCGCGCCATAAGTTGCGGGGTTAAAGGTAGGGTTTATTAGCTACCTCACGAAGTAGGTAGCTGTGACCGGGGGCTTGTCGAAAAGACAAGGTTAAAAAGCTAGGTTGGAGCGGGTTTGATCAGATACGAGGTGCTCGAGCATCTTACGCAGGAAATCCACGAACGGGTCGACGCAGCGCGCCATAACCTGCGGATTTAGAAGTAGGGCTGAGCAGCATATGATGAGTCAAGAGACGAAACTGGAAGGTAGTGACACGCTATTTCTGGGTGTTCTCCTCCTCGGACATCGTCTGCATATGCGCGAAACATGCGCGCTTATGTATCAGGGGATGTTCAAGTGCGCGATAACATGCGCGCTTATGTATCAGGGGATGTTCAAGTTCTGCAATCGGGGGGTTTGATTGCAAAACCGTATAGCAGAGGTTGAACTTTCAACATCAGTGGTCAGCAAAAAATCAAACTATTCCAAGTGGCAGAATCCACATAGACAGATGTGATACTGCATATAGTCAAGAACAGCAAATAATAACGAGTAGTGGGAGACACCAAATATCGCAGGAAGCAGAGCGGCGGTCCATACAAAGTCGAGACGATGCCGTCACCTCGTCGAGGTCCTCCAAGACCTCGTTCCGGAATTTAGAGGGGATGAAAAGACAGCGTAGAATAGTCCAACGAAACAAAGTGGCGACAGGAAGTAGAGTTAGTATGGAACCAGAAGCGGAAGAGGAGATCAAATAAACGACTTTAGAATTTGATCAAGACATAACGGCAATCACCTCGTCGAGATCTTCGAAAATCTCGTCCCCGATCTTGAGCGTGGAGCCGAGCTTGAGGAAGCTGGTGGGGTCCGCCTTGTCCTTGCCCCCCTCCTCGATGTCGATCTGCGCGTACACGTCCGTGTAGAACTTGATCGTCATGCTCAGGTGCGTCGGGCCTTTGCTGCTCGGCCGGATGATCACCTGAAGATGGAATTTACTCTATCGAAAACTTGTTTACGTTGGATGTGAAAATCTCAGAAATTCAATTTGACAGTGTGCAAATCAGACTCGTTTATACATTCGAGATGCATAGGTGCGGCGAGCCTTTGCTGCTCGGCCGAAATATCACCTGAAGAGGAATGAAATCTTGATGAAAAGTTTGATCACGTTGGATATGAGCGATCAGCAGCTTCGCTTTGACAGCGTGCATCTCGGATTTGTTACATATTAAAGATGCTCAAGTGGGTTGGGCCTTTGCTGCTCAGCCGAAGAATCACCTGAAGACGAAGGAAAGTTTGAGGAAACATTTAATATCGTTAACTATGAGCAATCAGTAGCTCCGATTGACAGGGTGCAGTTCGGGTTCGGTCTACTTTCGAGATGCTTAGCTGGGTCAGGCCTTATCAAAACCGAGACTCACAGAAAGCGTTATGTATGCCGAGCATGGAGGAAGGGAAGTCGCATCCGAAAGTGCTTCAAAAACCGTTGAAAACATAATTCGACTGCTGAATCGAATCAAAAGAGCGTAAGCCGGAAGAAGGGAGAACATGGAACACCCTCCATCTTTCCCCGAGACAACAGACGCCAAGACAAGCACAAGTCACGCGCATTATCCTTTCCACCTAAACCTGGAAACCCTGTGAATCTTTTGATTTGACTCACGTCACCAATCTCCTGCGTGTCCAGCATCGCGGTGGCTTCCAGGAGGTTGCAGTTCTTGAACAGCGGGTGCTGAATCATGCGCGGCCGGTACTGCCGCCGCGCCTCCTTCCTGCGGCGACGCAAGCGGCAAGGCTCAGACAAAGAATAAGGTACTTGTGACGTCGGGATCAATCACAACCGAAACACAGGAGAGTCCCCCTCTGTCTACTGGATGCAATCCGCCAATGCTTAAGAGAAGTAGCCCTGTCGGTTAGTACAGGAGCCCAAGAATTTAGGGTATCGAATCCTTGGTACATGAAATGAGCAGCAGGGACGTCTCATTCTGTTGACTCGCAGTCGCCCTGATTTGCAATAAGTATTTGCCAAACAAGAAAACCCCTCTCAACCTCATTGGCCTTTTGAAACCAACTTCAGATGGATTTGGGTCGAGAGGAACTGCTACCGAGAGTCTCTCTTCAATCAACTGAGCTCTCAGAACTTCTGCGGCCCAGTATGTCATTTAAGAAACGCCGGTTTTCCGTCCCCTCTCTTTTGAGTTCCTCGTTTTAATCGTGCTCCTGAATCCGTTGCATAATCACTGACGCTTCTGAAGTACCTAGGCAACGCATCCTAATTCCGCTTAGCCCTATCATGTCCCGGACTCCATTCTGCAGGCTGAAAGGAACGTCCTTAAGTGGTTGGCTTGACCGCGATCCTGAAAAGACGGGTATCCTACGTGCTGACGTGGCAATTGCTGACGTGGCAATGCTCACTTCCTTTTGGGCCGGTCGTCCTCTTCAAAAAGCGCGGGGTTGTTCCGCACAGCAACGACATTTTGAACCGGTTGGATCAAATGGGCGCGGGATAAGAAAGAAAACGATCCTGCATGTGCTGACGTGGCAGTGCTCACTTCTTCTTGGCCCGGTCGTACTCCTCGATCACTGTGGGGTCCTCATACGACCACGTGAACTTGGGCTTCTGGTAGTGCTTCTCGCGCCGCAGGTACGACCCCTTGCACGAGAGCTCCACCTTGAACTCCTTCTTGTCAATTTCTATGACGCTGCAGGCCAGTGTTCCGCCGTGAATGATACTAATGTTGAATGAAATCACTTTTTGCATGTTTCGATTCTCTCTGCTAATTGGTTGCTCGTCTAGTGCGTAAAACAGAAAACGAGAAACATCAGATGCAAAACTCGTGATACCCACCACACAGTCAGCACTTGGCCCTCGGCCCGCTTGTCTTTTTTTGCAACGCTTTGCATGGGTGATGAAAAGAACAAGGACTCTTTTGAGATAAAGAAAACTTCAATCTAGAAATGCAAGCGTGACACTCCACCACGCAGTGAGCACCTGACCCTCTACTCTCCGCAAGAAAGATTGAACCAGAAAGTAAAAAGGGCAATGGAAATATAACAGACTCTGAGAGAAGAAGCGGCGAAAAGTCAACGCGCAGTCAGCACTTGACCCTCCGCCAGCTTGTCTTAACATTCCTTGCCACTTTCTGCACAAGCACACTGAAAAAAGCAAAAACTAGACTGGGAAAAGAAGAAACAAGAAAACAAAGATGCATCCAGACTGACCACGCAGTCAGCACTTGACCCTCGGCCAACTTGTCTACGATCTCCGCTGCGGCCATGCTGCCATCGTCTGACAGCTCGTCGAACTTGACGAACGCCGTGAGACCCGACTCGAGCGCGCAGAAGATGCGTTCCTTCATCACCCGCCGTACCGTTGCCTGTGTGGAAGAGGTTGAGGGCTGGGATTTCAAAGAACGAGATCGTGGGTTATACGGAACCAGAGTTTGTTTATGCTTTGCTTAATTAGGGCAAGGGTTTGGCTTCGAAGAACCTGCTTGACGCCAGATTCGACTTCATCCGTTTGGATGCAAAAGCGTGAATGCAGTGAAACTGGATAGGTCAATTCTTAATCGACGCCAAACCCAACGCGAGCATGCGGAAATGTTGGGCGGTTCAACCAGGGTTAGTTTAACCGCCCTACCTGTACGATTTGGCCCTTTTGCAGGGTCTCGTCCGATTCGCCGGTCAGCAGCGAGAAGAGCTCGTCCACGTTGGGCTGCCGGTAAGGCACCCGCCACTCCGCGTATGGCTCCAGGAGCTCCGCCTGGGAGGAAGAACCGGGCACAAAAATAGTGAGGAACCGGGCACAATCATGGGGATCCGGGCACAAGTTGTGTGGAATTGGCCGCAAGCTCTGAGGAACCGGCCGCAGATTGTGAGGAAACGGTTGCACAAATTTTGAGGAACCGGCTGCAGATCGTGAGGAACCGGGCACGAACTGTGAGGAACCGGCCGCAAATAATGAGAAACCGGGCACAGTTTGTGAAAAACCGGGCACGAACTGTGAGGAACAGGCCACAGATTGTGAGGAACCGGCTGCAGATGTTGAGGAACCGGCCACAGATGTTGAGGAACCGGGGGCAAATCGTGAGGAAATGGTTGCACAAACTGTGAGGAACCGGGCCTGGATTGTAAGGAACCCGCCAAAGATAGTGAGGACTGGGGCACGGATTGTGAGAAATTGGGTACAGATGAGGAGAAACCGGGAGAAGCTTGTAAGGGAAAGGTTCGGAAGGGTGTCTTGTAGGAAGGAACCAGGACCTTAGAGGACTCAGGCACCCGCCACTCTGCGTACAGCTCAAGGAGCTCCGCCTGGGAGGAAGAACCGGGCACAAAGTGGTAAGGCAAGGCTAAAGAGGAGGACCGGGGCTCAATCATGATACGAGAAACGGAAAACCGGGCACAAATAGTGAGGAGAGATGTTCGAGAAGAGTAATCGGGAAGAAAATGAGGAGAGGTATTGGGAGAGGTATTCGTCCTCAGGGAAGGACGATCGGTACTCGAGCGAGGTTCATCCTGCACAGCCCCGCAGCTCTGCAGACGGCTTCCGGAGATTCTTTCGAGGGGCAGAAATCGGGCACGAAAGAATGGCCAAGCAACCGAAAGCAGTTCAAGGGGGAAAAACCTGGCACAAAGAGAGGGAAAGAACTTGTACCCGCTGGAAAACACACTCGAGAAAAAATGAGCGATACAGTATCCTGCGAAGTATAAGGTTCCCCCTTAGTCGGGAACACCGAGCAGAAAACAGAACAAGAGGGAGCGCCGTGCCGGTTCAGACTATCTCTCATCATCAAGAAGCTGCCAAGCATTGGACCTTGAGATCTATAAGGTTCACCTTGATGAGCTGGAGAGTGGGGCCGAGGTCCCCATGCTCCGCCTCGTGTTCCCGTGCAAACCGCTCAAGGTCAACCTTCTTGATCAGGTCCGGCCGCTCTGCAAGTGCGAAAGTGCTCGACGTTCGTGAACTCCAGATAGAAGGTTTGGGTGTATCAAGTCGGCTCAATGCGGAAAGTGCCTGATACACGGCCTCTGCTTTCGAACACAGCCAAAACTCCCCAGGCTATTTTGGTTGGAGACAGCGACGCGAGAAGCAACACAGAACAAGAGAGGTAGGAAGAAGGGTACGAGGAACGATAAAATGAGCCCAACTCGCACCTGCGATCTCTTGGACTGCCATCTCTAGGTCGTCCTCATTCGCTTCCTCTGCAGTCAGGTCCTGTTCCGCAAGCCAGGCCGCCTTGCAGAGCGCGGTAGCGACATTGTACTGGAGAGGATGGATCCGCGTCTCGTCCAACGGGTCCATGTCCTGCGGATGTTCGAGGATCGAGCCAGTTAAGTACGCGAATTGAGAGTGTCGGTTCTAGAATTTAAAAAGGTTACAAAGGGTTACAAAGAGTTTTCAGGATCCTAAAGGATCCAAGGTTTGCAGGGATCGAGAGGGTTTAGAGGACTAGCTTACAATTTCTGAAAGGATAAGCTGTAAGGAGTCGGGAATAACGAGCGGTTTTCGGGGCTGGTTCAGGGTTGTTGACAATTTCTTTCGTTGTTTGGAAAGATTTCGCGGCACTGGTAGACGCGTTTATATGAGCCAACGTGAGTGGTGACGAAGACCCTAATACACAAGTCAGCACACGCACAAGCCGAGCTACCCGACAATACGTAGCTCGGCTTGTGCTGCCAAAACGATGGATCTTGTGCGCAGTGACCCAGCCGAAAACCCTCTTGCCGACCCACCCATTCCGTCGTTTCAAACCACTCTACTTCTTTTGAGACTTACGTTCCAAATCAGGTCTAGAAACACAGTGCTTACCTCAGCATGCGCGGCCGCTGCAGTTGCCCGCGTACGCAGCGAACCGGCAGAATTGAGAAGACCTGCTTGGCGACCCACTTGAGATTTGAGCTGTCACTACACGCCATTGAAAAAATCATGATCCCTCGCACTCTCAAAACCCCATTGGAATACGTACCTCGGCATGCGCCGCCGCAGCAGTTGCCCTCGTACGCAGCGAACCGGCAGAATTGATGAAGACCTGCTTGGCGACCCACTTGAAGTTGAGCAGGTCCTTGCGCACCGTGAGCCGGCCGCGCCCCGCCAGCGCTTGCTGCAGCGCTTGTGCTTTGCGGGGGCCGAGACCAGGGACAAACTGGAGCGGGGCAAAGAGCCACTCGTGGTGAATGGCCGTATTCACATCAATGCCCACCTGGAAGGAGAATCGGAGCTTTCAGTCAGAAAGGTAGTGGGTGTGAATGCACGCAGTGGAGCTGTCAGTCTGGACGGTTTGGAGTGTGAATGAGTGGGCACGAAGACACTGGAGCGGGGCAAAGAGCCACTCGTGGTGGATGGCCTTGTTCACATTGATGCCCACCTGGAACAACAATCGGAGCGTTCAAGAGGGTGAAAGGTGTGAATACAGGCAGTAGAGCTGTCTGAACGATTTGTGAGTGTGCATAAGCGAGCACGAAAAATTTGGAGCTAGGCGAAGAGCTACTCGTGGTGAATGGCCGTATTCACATCGATGGCCACCTGGAACAAAAGTGATGTGACTTATTTCTGCTGTGAATATGATCGTCAAGACCGTAAGTATAGCTTCAGAATGGTTGCGCTCTAGTGCCAGAAACGGCACACCATCCTGAAGGAGAGTCACTCGTGAAGAACGATCGACCGTGTTCACATCGATGTCAACCTGGAAAGGAAATCACTTACAAAGAGGTTCAGAATTTAATGAGAGAGCGAGCACAAGTCGACCCTTCCTACCTGCGCGGTAATCGCCCGTCATCACGTGCTCGACCGCCCCCCATAGCCTCTCATGCGACACCAGCTCTTACATTGCGAGGAATCTCAAAAAGGCAACTGCCTGGCCCCACCAGAAGTTTCTAGTAATGATCAGGAAGCAGACGGACAAAACCCTGTATTCGGAGCGAAACCACACCTAAGTTTGCCCTTCTCACCTGCGTGGTAATCGTTGTCATCACGCGCTCGACCGCCCCCCACAGCTCCTCCTGTGACACCAACCCTTGCATCGCGTGCATCCGCAACAGCGCAACTTCCCGTCCGGGCCCGCACAGCGCGGCCAACGCGGCGAGCGGGTTTTGGATCGCCCGTCCGAGCGCGACCGCACGCCGGACCATCTCGGGCTGTCCGGAGAGCTGCGTTTCGGACACCTTGGACTTTTCGTAGAGCAGCGGGATGGACTCGTCCGCGTAGAAGACGTGCAGGGTGTCGAGGCCCGCCGCCAGCTGGTCGATTTCGACCTCTACTATGTTGTAGATCACCTGCAGAAAGCAGCGGATTCTCGTTTGATCTTATGCAACTAATTCTCTTACCTAATCTTGTTTCGTTCTGCTTTGTATTGGGCTAGCCAATTGCAGAACCCGGATCCCTGGGATGATTACATTCCCTCACACTGCGTGCAGATCAACTGCGGGCATCGGAGTGCCCCTCTCTATGTTGACCACAAGTTTCCGTTCCCATCTTTCGTCTCTCGTTTAAGCGTAGTAAGGACGCTCCATCAACCATTCCGTGATGGCTTGATCACCAAAACACGAAGAATGTCCAGTACCGTGCCTTGACTCATAAGTCCATCAATCGGAGTCACACTCGACCGTGAAACATGAAAGTCATGTAAACGCAAAATGTTCAACCAACAACCTCAGACGAAGCCAACCTTAATTCCCCCTCCCTCACCTGGTTCACGTCATCGAACAAGTTCTTGCACCGCAGGTTCGCCCCTCCCACGACCCCCACGTGCGGCTTGTGCTCCTTGATGAACTCCTCCAGCTTGCGCTTGTCCTCCTCCCACCTTTCCGTGGCACGAGGCCCGCCTATGCCTTTCGACCCAAGCGATCCCGTGTAGAGAGTGTCGATAAGCTCGCCCCGTTCGTCGAGCATAACGATCGTCGTGGCCGGTCGGCCGGGGCCCCAGCACACGGCCAGCACACGGCACGCGTGCTCGTCCTCATTGACGTCCTGCAGAAAACGATTGTTATTTTTGGAGGTTGCTCGCAATAAAGATTTCATGAGAGCAGGGGCTTTTGGAGAGGTGGAAAATGATAGCGTTCCCAGGCCCCATTTCGGGAAGTCACTACCAGGAAAGGTCTCTCAGGCTTCTAACAACTTGTTTGCTAAGGGACCGGAGTTCCACCGGATGAGTTCAGCAGAGGCAATCCGAAGAGAGGGCTACAAGATGCACGATAGAACATGGACGGAGGACCTCAGACCTCAGAGTGCTATCTTTCAAACGACTCCTCGAGAGCAGACCCAGAAACTCGTCAAATCCAACCTGAATTAGCTAAGGTTCCGCTGAGACCAGACCGGCGCACCTTAAAAACCAAACCCCAACCCTCAAACCCAAAACCTTATAATTATCCAACAGGAAACTGTGGACCCACCAGAAATCTCGTCGCGAGCCTTCTAAATCGCACTCAATCAAAGTACAAAGTAAGCACGCCTGACTTGAAGACGCACTTACCTCCAGGTCGACCTTCTTCCGCGCAAACGGCGCCCGCGCCGCGAGCTTCCAGAGGGACTTCTCGCACTTCCCGACCACGTGACGCCGCGCACGCTGCGTGAGCGTCGCGCGCACTTCCGCTTCCATGGCGGGAACTAGAAACTCGTCGAACGCTTTGGCAAGGATTTGCCGCCGCTGCTCGTTCCATAGCTGGGCGTTCTTGCTCACGTTCTGGCTCAGGTACAGTTCCTGGAAGGAGAGACGAGGAGCGCTTTGTTTGGAGGGGGGACAAAGCGGGTGCAGCTTGGAAGGGAACGGTGCACTTGCAGTACGCATAGTGAACAACTTCTGGTTTCAAACAGGCTTGTCGAATTACTATAAAATCGTCAGGAGAGCCTTGAAGGTTTCCAGGAAGGTTCTGAGCGAGTGAGATGAAAGACAAACAGGCCGTGACAGATAAGCAAGCGGAGGACACACATCAAAAATAATAAAGAGTCGAACTAAAACCAGAACAGAAGAGCCCACTGACGGCGACAGAGAAATAACGCAGTAACATGGTAAAAAACGTGAAGGGAAGGAGGGACACCTTATGAAACAGCAAAAACACGAGGAGGACGAGGAGATGACAGAACGGAACAGCAACCACAAGCCCGCAATCACAGCCGTCTCAACCCGAGCTGCCCCTCAGCCAAAGCGGAAAGGGAAGTCAAAGACGGAAGAATCACACAGGAGTAAGGAGCCTCACGCTGAGCAGTGTTCTCAGTTGGTTTGTCTCCTCCTCCGGCAGCCCCACCGTCACCTCGATGAGCCCCTCCTCCTTCGCATTCATCACCAGCAACCACTGCCCGTCCTGAAACTCCCTCACGGGCTTACTATACAACCACTTGACCGCCCCGTACTGGTGGTAATCGTCGATCACGTCCATGCCCCGGGGGGTCGGTTTCGTGCTCACGACTGCCCCCCCAGGGCGCGCCGCCGCTTCGCTGCTCACGGGGGGCATGAACTTCTCGCGGAAAGCGGCCCGGACCGCGGGGTCCGCGGCGATCTCGACGGCGGCCATGTGCCGGGCGCCGTCCAAGACGTCCGCGGGCTTCTTGAACGCGAGGCCCGCAAACGAACCGGCGACCGCTTCGGGGGGTTCGGGGTGATCCTCCACCTCAGTTTCCTGCGGGAGGCGGGAAAGTGGATAATGTTCAGCTTTGTCGACCATTTTGTCCAGGACCGGATTATGTAAGATTGAAACGGCCCGCAGAAGGACGCAAGCACCTTTTCTCACGAGGCATAAGCAAACAGACAAAGTCGAGCGTGACGATCGCCTGTCAGGTCCCAAGTTTGAAGGGCCAGTCTTCAAGCCCCGAGATCCTCAATCTCCTGCATTTCGTCATCGTAGCACATGTGCCAAAATCGAACGACTTACCACAAAGCCCTTTTGCAGGTTCGGCCCCAGCTGCCTCACGCTGCCAAACTTGGCGGCAACCTCCGCGAGGCCCTAGTGTCTCGAATCCTCTAGTTTCTGGAATTTCAGACACTAAGAATCCTAGAACTCGAAAGTCTAGCAGAAGGACCAGGCCGCCTCACCACAAAGCCTTTCTGCAAGTTCGCCCCCAGTTGCCGCACGCTCCCAAACTTGGCGGCAACGTCTGCAAGGCCCTGGCTCTTGCAGTAGGCGTAGAGTGACGCGCGCTGCGGCCGCTTGTGCCGCACTGTCGCGAGGCTGGGGTCTTCCTCCGGCAGCAGCAGCCGCGCACGCGCCTCCACGTCATCGAGGGCCGCGTCCGACGTTGCCTCCTTCAGCAAGGTCTGAATCTCCTGCAATGACAAACGGGGAGCAAGTTTTGGACCATGCTTACTTCGAGACTTTCCAAATTCTTGACATTCGAAAGAGAGAACATACTTCGGACGTACTTTCTTTTTTCAGGCCGTGTTTTTTAAGGGCATGACCAACGTAAAAAGTATGACGAAAGAAGTTGCAGCCGCCAGTGCGCCTCCACGTCGTTGAGGGACTCGTCAGACGTTGCATCCTTCAGTGGCCTTGTATCTCCTGTAGTCGAAGCGGACGTGCCCCATCGAATCGAATGTCACTCTTCCAGGATCCCGGATCTCCTGGAACTTCGGAGAGGGAGCGGATTGCCGAGCTCGCTCAATTTAGGACCTTTTTCAACGCTTCATGACCAAGAGACTAAGAAGCAGCGAGCGCTTGTGTGTATTGACGTCGTGCGCTCCGTCAGATGTTGCGTCCTTCAGCAAGCCTATCTCTCCCACAGGGGAAAGTGGACGTGCTTAACAGTTCACTGGCAAAACGCCTACGATAGCAGATACCTTGAAGACAACATTTTTGACATACCCCAGAAGATGCGGATCTTTTGGACGGCAGCGTGCTGTTTTCGGACGCTTCGCGGACGCTTTTCGGACACACCTGCGGCACCCGGCTCGCTGCCTGACGTCCTCGCCGCCGTCCTCGGACGACGGCAACTTTCCAGTATATCAAGACTTTCGGACGGCGCTCTCGGACGCATTCGGACGCACCTGCAGCACCCGGCTCCACTGCCGGGCGTCCTCGCCGCCGCGCTCCATTGACGGCGTGATGTGGTCCTTGTACGCCTTCTCCAGCCGCCGCTTCCGCTGGCGCAGCGCCATCCACTTCCGGTCCAGCTCCGCGACCGACCAGAGCAGCTCGAACTTTTGCAGGCGCGACTGGCTCTCGTCGTCTTCTTCGTCTTTTGGACGGCCTTGCGGGGGGGGCGCCAGGCGGTCGAGCAGGTTGCGACACTTCTCCTTGCGGTACATGCCGATGTACGGGATCTGCAGCGGACATTTTGCTTCGCTTGAGGTTCTGAACGGGATGTAAGGACAGGGCCAAGCAGACCTCGATATGAGGGTTTTAATAAGACTGTGGCGCTTCTTCTTCCAGCACATGCTGATTGACGGGTCTTGAGGGATGGGTAGGTTTGGGTGAGATCCTGAAACGATTCCTGAAAGAACGGCGGATCAAAATACCCAGCTCGTAAGGGAGTTTCAAATAGATTGTTGCGCTTCTCCTTGCCGTATATACAAACGTAGAGGCCTTCTGGAGTAGGAGCCAGACACTTTTCAAGTTGGTAGACATGGGGGGGCTCTTGAAGAGGTTTGACCTACTTTCACTGAAGAGCCGAGGATTTGCTGCACACTTTGTAAAGCGTGGGATCGACAAACTCTTAAAAGCCGAACAAGCGGCCTCGTCAAGATCACCCTCGGCACCAAGTACGAGGCTTTGAGACATCGCAAACTTTAAATCCCAACAGAAAGGCCCAAACAAACAACAATCAAATAACCCAGCGGCCACTCACCTCTAGTTTGTCCTCATGCATCAACACGAGCACATTTCGAAGCTCTTCCTCGACATTCGGCCTCAGATCCGGGTCGTACAGGTTCATATATTCCGGGCGTAGGATCGTGTACTTGATATTGAACAGCTGTTGGTAGATCCATTCCGCCTCCCTCCGCGCGTCCTCGGTCTCAGGCATCGGCCCATACTGTTCCTCCAAGACCTGGGACGAGAAAAGTTAATGACTTAGCGAGCAAGTAGAAGGTGCGTCAAGGACAAACAAAAAGTATCTGACCAACTGCTGAACGGTTTGTTTACTTCTGCACGTCGCCACTCTTCTCGCGTCCTTTATCCCAGGCATCGGCTCAAACTGCTCTTATGGACCCAAACTTGACCAAAACTTGACCTGATTAACATCCGTTTGAAATCCGAACGCATAACCATTCTACTCTGGACGGTTCGACAACTTCCATGCCGCCCAGTACTTGAACCGGATGTCGGTGGTCGGTATCTGTTTGTCCTGACATCGACTCTATTCAAGCTAAAAAAGCCGAAATGTCGAGTAATCCCATCTTTAACTTTCCACCTCAAAAGACTGTTGTCTGAAAAGGTTACCAAAGCTTCCGTACCAAAACTATCTCAATTTGGAATCGCTTGGGGATGTTGGTGCTCCAAACCGCTGATCCTGTCGGTCCTTACATCGATTGACAGCGGCTCATCCAGTCGGTCGTTACATCGATTAATAGCGGCCGCGACATCGCACGTGAATCGAGTAGCAAACAATCGTTGCTGATCCTTGGCACCCCCATAGTCTCATCCTCTGGCAAGGTTCCAAAGCTCCCCTCTGCTCGGTACGTACCTGGAACCTCTCAGGAATGTCGGTGGTTCGTATCCGCTCGTCCCGGTCGGTCATGAACCGCTCCTCCAGCAAGCTCGGCTCGAACGCGCGCTGTGCAGCGCGCATCGCCTGCTTCGAGGCCTTGCTCGCGCGGCGACCCCGGGGCGCTCCCTCCTCGTCCTCCATCTCGTCCTCGTCCACGTGCAGATCGTCGAAGCCCTGCGAAGATCCAAAAAGCAAGTGAATCAGCAGTGCGGTTGAGACAGCTGAGTTCTGAAAACGTTGTCAGCTAAGTGTCCGAGGACCCGGAAAAGAAGACCTACGTTACTTAGAATGATCGCTGACGTCCTTCACCTCGTCCTCATCCTGCGGATCATCAAGGCCCTGCGGACGTCCGGAAGATGAGTTGCTAGGATCGTGCAGTTTAAGCACTAGGGGCATTTGTAGCACGCGAGCCCGTATCAAATAACGTGGATTAGCATTAGAAGGCTATCAGGACTCATCATCAGGTTCCAACCTTGTCTCCTGCTTACCTTCTCATCCTCTCTCTAACCGTTCATTGCCTGGATCTATGTCTGGATCTTTGGAACCTTAAGCCTCCTGCCCGCATCATGTAATCTGAAGAGGAGGTCGAAAGACGGCGCCCGACACCCTTCTTTAACCTCTCGTCAAACGCGATATTTCCGCCTTTCTCGTACTCTTCTCTTACTGCTCAAGCAGCTTCTTCATCCCCGACCAGCCTGGTTCAGGGCTTTATTACAGATTCCGAAAACAGCTAATTAAAAGTAGAACGCAACCTACTTAAATCCCTCTTGTCTCACCTCATCAACATCATCCTCGCCCTCCCGCTCCCTGTTCTTGTACTGCTCCAGCAGCTCGTCCACCCCCCCGAAAATGTCCTGCGCCTCCTGCAGCGCCGCAGAGCTGGCCACGACGCCGCGTCGCTCCGCGCCCTTGTTCTTCTTCTGCTTCCGCTTCCTGTGAGGCAGCCGTAAACTCGTCGTTAAGAAGGCCGTACTAATAATGAATGCTGCAGAGATTGACAAGAAGCAGAGTTGCTGACAAGAGGAGCTTCTTTTGTCTTCAAAAACCAGATTACAGAGGTTGGTGGTGCCCTTTGGGTGTGACGCCTGGGTCTGCCTAACAATGATGACCTGTTTCATCCGTTGTTTTTCTTGGGATCTAACGCACCCACACAAGAAACTGGTACCGGGGAGCAGAGTCCCTCCCCACGACGAGAACCCGCGTTTGAAAACACGAAGCCGCTCCCCTTTTGCGACTGCCCCTTTTATTGGCTGAGAACTACTTCGGACGCAAAGAAAACGAACATGAGCATAATGACTCGCGGGGGATAAGGTTCTCATTCTCGTCGAACTTCTCGTCAACTTTTCATCAAAAGTTCCACAAGCTGACTTCGACTCGAGTCGCAAGGAGACAAGACTCACGGGACCAGGTTCCCGTTCTCGTCGAACTCCTCGTCAACGATGAAGCCGTCCATCTCGTTCTCGCTGAAGTCCTCTTCTTCTTCCTCCACCTCCGGCCGGCGCTCCTCCTCCACCGGCTCTTCCCCGTCCTCGTCTGTGCGAGAAGAAACCAGGGAGTCAGCTTACGTCATGCTGATGTCAGCCACTCGCAGCTCTCCCGTCATGACGTCAACCCGGCGCTCCTCCTCCACCGGCTCTTCCAAGCACTCATATACTCATCACGGAGATAAAGTTTGTAGTTGCGTCAAGGTTGCATCAACCACACGCAGCTCAATTTTCCTTGACGTCAACCGGTACCTTGTAGACAGGAAATGGCGTCAACGAAAATAAACAGAATGCCGACACTAGCTGCGACCGACAGCGGTTGCAGCAACAGGTCCTGTACGACAGCCTATCGACCTTCGTTCCCCCTGGCGAGACTTGCGGCTTGTAAGCGGTTGCTTTCATTCGAGACCGATGATATGGACCCTTGGGAGAACAACCATAGCGACTTTGCACCTCGTCTCCCCCGCAACCACGCCATCCTGTATTGCGACATTGCTTAGTGTGATGGCTATTGTGAAAAACCAATGAGTCCCTGCTATTTGGACAGCCCATCTGCTCCAAAACATCTTTTGGAGAGATATTTCGACATCTCGTAGAGAAGCTGGCAGAACAAATAGAAAATTTCACGATCTAAAATGATGCCTACCTGCCCCGAACAGCTCCTGCTGTAGCTCCTCCTGCGTGCGCGCTCTCCGAGCCCCCCCGTCCTCCTCCCCTCCGGCATCAACCCCCAAACCGCCAGCCTTCTTCAGCCGCTTCAACCTGGGCCCCGACCCCTGTCAAGAGAACACTACCAATAAGGGCACGTCCGAGCGTTGTTTAGTAGAGATCCTCTGCTTGAACCAGAAGTGTGCAAGTTCCAAAATGCAGAGTTCGTTGAACCCCGAACCGGGTAGCAGAGTCCCAAAGACTCCTTCTGAGTTTATGAGTAACCCGATTCTCCTTGGCTAGAAGCTGGTATGCTCCTTCCTCAAATAGCATGAAAGTCCTGCCGGCTATAGCTTCTGTCCTCTGACTTCTCCCCAAGACGATTCAGAACTCCAACAGCATTCTAATAGCAGACAACTTGGCGAAGGGAGTCATGCAGTCACTAAAAACTTCCAATCAAACCAAGCAGGTACGTTACTCTGAACTTCAAAGGTGAAGCAGGCGTGCACGCAACATCGCAGGAGAGAATTAGACGGTGGAGAAATCGTCCGAGCAGGTGCTTACCTTTTTGATCGGGGGCCGGAAGTCGGGGTTCGCCTCAGCGATGAGGTCATAGTCGTCTTCGTCCAACTCGAGCTCCTCCCTGTGAACCCCGACCCACAGGTGAGCAAAGTAACTAAAACGTTTGTGGTTGCTTGCTACATTTTAATATTGATGCTCTTGTCAGAGCGCTACTCTAAACTTAATCACGAGCCTTGTACATTGTTTCCTGGGGTCTCCCAACGAGAAGCATGTGAGAAGCCTGAGGACGCGGGTGGCAACCTTGGCCACCAGGTACTCAGAACACAATTGTCTAAGTCAAATCATTTGTGAGCACAATTCCCTCTTCCCTGACTTCGAATCAACAAAACAAAGAAGCTGTCTGGCTGCATCCTTGTAAAGCTGGTTGCAGGTTCCAGTAGCGTAACACCTGGAATCTGACAGATTATTCAAAAACGCTCCGAAAGCAAACGCGCCTCAGCTAAAGTCTGTTGACTTGGGCTGCACAGAGTTAGCCCACCTCTTTCTGCGCTTTCTCTCTTTGCGGTTCTCCTCGTCATCCCCTTCCTCTTCCTCGCCCCCCTCCTCTTCCTCCACCTCATCGACCAGGAAATCATCCTTCTCATACTCATTGGGGGCGTCCTCGTCCTCTGCAATGATTTCGTTGTCAATCCCCTTGATAAACAGACCCGCGCTGTTGCTGCCCGAAACGCTACATCTGAATGAAATCTGTCAAGACCAGATGAGTCGTTGAATTGACAGGTGGCGAGGCAACCAGGCAGCAGACTGCTCTCCCGCTCGGAAGAACTAACCCAGCCAATTGAACACATACACCAGACCCCAGAGGTTTGCAGGCACAAGAAGAGTACTAAAGAACAAGAAAGAAGAAGTTTCTAAAAGAAGTTCGTATAAGAAATAGAACTTTTTAGAAACATTGTATAGAATCCAAATGTTCCACAAATGGTTGCGGTCACAGTGACGCACCAACTTCTACCGGACAGGGGGCTAACGTACAATGCCCATAACTCAATGTACCTGGGGGCTGAAGCAAACTCCACATCTTGTCTGTCAGCACAACAACTGGAAGCACTCACAAGTTGGTGAACAGTAAGCCCTGCTCTCTGAAGATTCTCTACGCCAAAGCCCCCGACATAGATCGCAAACCATTGAACGACCGAAAACAAGCAATCAGACTTCGTCTTTGCGGTGCAGAGTCAGTTGAGGGCACACCTTCCTCTTCATCATCGTCATCCTCGCTTGCTTCATCATCACGACCCTGGCGCCTCCGTTGTTGCAGATCCTTCTTCTTCTTTGAGAAAGTTTCTTCTTCCTCTTCTTCCTCCTCCTCCTCCTCCTCTTCCACGCGCCCGTCCTCTGAAATGATGCCAGGCAAATGTCAATTGCAGATAGTGACATACTTTGCAGCGGTTGGGGAAATCAGCTACTAGTGCTAGCTTGAAGATCAGCGAGGCAGTTTTGCTTCAAGGCAATGTAAATCATGGTGGCATCTGAACATCTATGTGACATATTGCAAGAAAACTTCCTATGATATGTAACGACTTCACCACCTCCAAAGACATTGATCTTTCAGGTGGGGCCTTTAAAGCTGTCCTCAGATGACTTTTTTCTTAGGAACGATAAACCCTAATCCTGGAGCCATGACCTCGTCAGTCATTCACTAGAAAGCTTGCACAAGGCAATGCTGCAATCCTTCGCATAAGTTGCACGATTCTTTGTTTACGACATCAGGTCACTGAATGATGGATACAACAGCAGAAATTTGTCGTGAAAAGCATTTGGCTTTGAAGTTGACTGACAAAACACATGAAAGGTTTTGCTGCAACACTTTTCGGCCGCAGCAGGATCGCCGCAAGCCGGATCCACGTGAGACATTCTAGTTAGACGCCTCAGCTTGAGGACGGTGCCACCTTCTATTGCATGCAATGGGCAAGATTGTGCAACTCACCCTCGTCTGAGCTCATGGTGCCCGCCCTTGCGGTGGAAAACAACAGATGCTTCAACCACTATATGTCTCTGATTGTCTGCTGCAAAAACCCGACGTCCGTTCTAGCGATTGTCTAGAAAGCTTTCATAATCTAATGTTCCTTTTCTGTTGACACTGAGCGGCTCTAATAATGGCCCGCAGTGTGCCTCACATACAAGCTGCTGCTGCTCAGATTCAAAATACCTGAAGAAGGAAGCTCGGCGCCCCAACTGCGGTAACTCGGTTTCCACGAGCCGCAGTTTCAAGCCTGAAGATTCTCTGACTGGCGCAGCATCACGAGGCAGGCTAGGTAGATAGGATGGGCATGCGCTCCAGAAGGAAGCAACTTCTCTCGGAGGGTTTTCTACCGGTCTTTCCTAAGAGGGAGCGCTGTTGCGTTTCAAATCCCGGGTGAATCAGTATTGCCCTCGGTGAAGACTTGTAACCGTTTTGGGAGCGCATTCACAAGTCAGTGGATACGAGAAAAAACCACCCGCTTCGCAAGTCTGATCGCTCTGCTTTCGTTTGGCGCTTCACTTCTCGTTCAAGCTGTGCAGGTTCAGATCAGATTGCGTCTTGTTGACGAATTGTCAGCTCACAGCTCACAGTTCTGAAGAGCACCTTCGAGGCTTCTTCTCTTAAAAGGACTCCATTGAGCAGGGTTCAGTGCGGCGATCCGCCTTGTTTTTGCCCAGTCTGCAATCATGCAGGCCCCTGTGATGGTGCTCAGTAAGTTGCAGCTCCTGCATTCTCCCGCTCTTCTATAGTTTTCGTTTGCCCGTTCTACTAGTGCTGGTAAAGGTGGTGTATTCTTTCTGGAAATCCAACCAGCGAACACTGGGACGCTTTCTCTCTTTGCTCTGGAGCTGCCTTTGATTGATGGGCCGCTCGTCCTTACTCCTGAAATGCCTTCTCTTGGGGGCTCAAGCGATCGCTGCCATCTTATTCAATCTTGTGTTTTACTTTCCGAGCAGATGCAAACACGAAGCGGGAAAGTGGGAGGAAGGCTCAATTGGGGAACATTGCAGCCGCCAAGGTGAGATGCCACCACCCGCGTCGTCTTCAAATACTCAAAGTGCTCCAAAAGATTGACCTCCAATTCTAAGTCTCCTGTACCTCTCTGGTTGTGTTGCTCCCTGGTTCTGCCGTGCCCCAGCTGCTCTAGCAGAGAGAAAAGAATGCATTCGACCACTCAGCAACTGAATGTATATTGTCCTCAAATTGTTTCAGCCACAATTGAGGACACGCCATCTTAGCTTGATATGAATTCCCTTAAAAGTTGAACTCCTCTGCAGGCTGTTGCTGACATCATCAGGACAACTTTGGGGCCTCGGTCAATGTTGAAGATGCTCCTTGATGCCACTGGTGGTGAGTCGTTATAGAATCTTATGACATAGAAAGCTGGCCCTGACGCTTGCCTAGCTGCCACCATGATGACTTTCCTTAAAGCAATCCATCTTTCATTGTTCAGACTGACAGACATCAAAATTTACAACCACGTATTCGTGCAGGAATCGTCCTCACAAACGACGGGAATGCGATCTTGCGAGAGATCGATGTTTCTCACCCTGCTGCCAAGGTAAGGACTTTTACTTTCAGTCCTTCTTTGAGAGGGTAGGCACAGCCAATCTGAGCTATTGACATATTCTTCCGTTCGGCAGTAGAATTTCATGCTTTTGGAGATTGCTGGTCTCTCGCAGACGGCAAAGCGAGAGTGCCAGTTGAGCTGAAGAAGGAGAAAGTACTGAAGAGTTACTTGACAGAGACGCTGGCGGCATTTGTTGCAAGCCATAAGGAGTTGTAACAGGTTTCTGCACACACTTTCTTGTTCCAAGCGCTCGTGCACTTTGCTTCGCAGTCAATGATCGAGCTCAGCAGGACGCAAGACGAACAAGTGGGAGATGGGACCACATCAGTAATCATCCTATGTGAGTCGCTACTACACTCGAGACTGAGGCCTGTTCAAAGCAAGGAGTTCTGTATTAGACATTCCTTGTATGTTTTGCATCTTAATTGGTCGTGCCAATTTTGGTATAGCAAAGAGTTCGAAAATGAAAATCCACGATCTTGTCTCCCTATGATTCTCGAGTAGCCTTGGTGCACGAACATCAGTTTTTCCTGCTATATGTGTGTGTCTAATCATACCCCAATTACTCCCTGCAGCTGGAGAAATGCTCCATGTCGCTGAGCCGCTCCTCGAAAAGAACTTCCACCCCACCGTCATATGCCGAGGTTAGTGTTCCAAGGTTCCGCACCGATGGAAACTTTCAAGAGAATTATCGGCTGTGTATGAGCAAGCAGGACTCAGTCATATCTGTCATGCATTCCTACTGATCAGGCCGTCGGTTTATCAAGCGTCCAGAACGAGCTTATTCACTGTGTATTATGTGCTAATGCGTGGTGTTTCTTCTGGTGCAGGCTACCTAAAGGCTCTCGATGATGCTATCGCAACAATCGATAGGATCTCCTTCCCAATAGATACAAATGATCGTGAGCACCTCTCTTAGAGTCCCTTGCCCATCACTCCAGTGGTACTTGAGCTCTCCTTGCACCAGGATTGGCTGTCTCTTGTGTTCTCCAAGGAACACACGAATCAAGTCCTTGGATTTGCAGTTTGAACCGTGCACACGCTTGCTTTCGCTACTGCGCCGGCAGTCGTCCACTTTATGAGGAGGTAGTATTGCTGCACATCAGCCGCATTGGCGACTGTCTTTGATGCTTCTAAACGAGCGGATGCAGTTGACTGAAGTCGAGGACTGCGTCCATTGCAGGGCAACAGATGATCAACATCATCCAGAGCTGCATAGGGACGAAGTTCACGAACAGATTCGGATCTCTGATGTCGGTGAGTTTGCCCTCCTTTGTGGTAATCGCGTTGGTCATTGTTCGGCTGGATTGCATCTCAAGCAACACGCTTTTGATCCGCTTTGATCGACCATTCGGCTTTTTGAGGGCTTTGAGATGCTACTCTGCATAAGCTTTCTCGAATAAGGCTGCACCTCAGCAAAGCTTGCAGCTTCCGAAAGACCTTTGGGTCCGAGTCGTGAAAGGCATTTGACTCGCGCAAAATATCTCTCGAAGCTTCAGGGGTCTCTCCAGACAAGGCTGACTCCTTGCTGCATTCCAGGAGCTCGCTTTGGACGCCGTCCAAACAGTGTCCGTGGACCTAGGGGCCGGTAAACGGGAGATCGACATCAAGAAGTATGCCAAGATCGAAAAGATTCCGGGGGGCCGGATCGAGGACTGCCGCGTGCTGAAGGGGGTCATGTTCAATAAGGACGTGGTGGCCCCCGGCAAGATGAAGCGGCGGATCGAGCACCCCCGGATCATGCTGCTCGATTGCCCCCTCGAGTACAAGAAGGGGGAGAACCAGACGAACGTCGAGCTAACCAAGGAGGAGGACTGGTAAGCATAAGCTGGTTTGCATGATAAGGAGAATAGTTCTCGTTATGCTCGTCATCAATTTGATTGTTGAGAGATTACAGAGGAATCAGTCCCTACCTGCAGCTCAATTTGAGGTGGAAGACTGCTGAGCCTTGGAAGTTGGAGAGCACCGTTCTGGCTGTCGGCTGCGGATGAAAATGCAGAGGCCGTTGAGAATTGCAGTAGACAACAAAATGGAGTTTGGATCAGAGGAGCGCGAGGATCTCTCGTTTATCTGCTACCTGAGTCGGCGCTGTTGCAACCACCAGCGCCCCTTCAGCAGAGAGCCGTCTTCGGATGTCGAAGAGGGTTTCCCTGTCAGTTTGGAACTTCAACTTTTTTTCGAATGGGCGTCCCATTTCAAAATGTCTCACAAGGTGTACTCACTGGTTCTCGATCTTTCTTAATTCAAAAAGCGGATGCAGTCGACGGTTTGATCCGGGCCTCAGCAAAATCGATTTGGGAGGGTGCAAGCCCGTGTCCTTACGCGCATCCTGACTCAAGTCCAATGGAGCCAACGCAAAGATCCACCCGATGCGCATTACGTCAAACGTCGATGAACTCAATGCCACTACTCCAATTGTCCAAGTTCTGCGCAGATGGCCAAGTTTTGCAATCAGCCCAAGATCGCACCTAGGTCCGCCGGCCAGGTCTCAGCGAGCCTGCATGATGTCCTTCTGAAGGTTCAGAACGTCAGATTAACAAACGCCTGTTTTCTCCGTGCAGGGCCACGCTGCTGCAGATGGAGGAGGAGTGGATTCAAAAGACGTGTAAGCAGATTGCCAGCTTCAAGCCGGACGTGGTGATCACGGAGAAGGGGCTCAGCGACCTCGCCACACACTTCCTGAGCAAGGCCGGCATCACGGCGATCCGCCGCATCCGGAAAACGGACAACAACCGTATCGCTCGGGCCGTGGGTGAGGCAGAGAAGCAAGGACTCTGGTTCTTGCGAGTTTGAGAGCGACGAAAGGTCATTGCCCGACTGATTGATCATTCCCGGCAGCCATCTTGGTTTGAAAGCAAGTGGCAATAGTGTCGTACTTAGTGCTATGGCGGCTTTGTTGGTTCCTCTGCAACAGTCTAGCCACTTCGTTGCCAGTGGCTCCGTTTCATGGGTTTACATTAGAAGCGCAACACTGGGCTTAAGAAACAAAGGGAGCTTACTCGTCAGCACCTAGATCAGTCGAATCATTCTGCGTAAGGACGAGTTGAACGTAATCATGCCTGAAGCAAGTTCTGTCCAGGCGCGACAAGCGTGAACCGATTGCCGGAGATTAATACCCCCTGTATGCGGCCCGCTTTTACCACTGACTTCAGCAAGACACAATCGCACAAAGTGCACATCTTCTAATTGCTTCCACTAACATTTTCTCCAACGTTCTGCAACCAGGCGCGACGATTGTGAACCGGCCGGAGGAGCTCAAGGAGAGCGACATTGGCACGGGCGCGGGCTTGTTCGAGGTGCAGAAACTGGGCGACGAGTACTTCACCTTCATCGTCGACTGCGAGAACCCCAAGGCGTGCACCGTCCTGCTGCGGGGCGCCAGCAAGGACGTGCTTAATGAGGTGGAGCGGAATCTGCACGTGAGTCACGAGGCGCCGCTGAACGTTACTTGGCATGGAATCTCAGCAGCTTGGATTCCGTTGGTCGTGGGAGTGACAATTCCGATGTCACTTCGTCACAGTGACAGAAACGGGGCGGTGTTCAACATTGCAGGGGGTTGTCTAACTTCATCTTGTCTGGGTGGCACAGTACTGGAGAAGCTCAGGCAGGTCGGAAGCAAAATGTGGGGCCCGTATTTGCAAGAGAGCCGAAGCTCATTACCAAGTGGCGTTGAGCAGGCCCATGTATCCACTCCGCACAGTTGTCTCTTACGCTGTCATTGATTTGAAGCAAATCCTCTGAACCACGAATATTGTCCTCCAATGTTCCCCTGCTGGAGCGTCAAGTCTAGTGGTCGCTAGGCACCTTCGTGCGCTGTTCATTATCGAAAAGCAGTCTCAATGTTCCTAAAAGTGACCGGCTTTTGAAAGAAAACATACTATCTAAAATGTGCACTGCCGCTGCAGGACGCCATGGGCGTGGCTCGGAACGTGGTAATTGATCCGAAGCTCGTCCCGGGGGGCGGCGCCGTGGAGCTCTCTGTGGCTGCGGAGATCAAAGAAAAGGCGGAGGCCATCGAGGGTGTCGAGCAGGTGATTTTCAGCATACGAGCCTCGTCTTTAATCAGCGCAGTCTTCTGTTTTGTTTTGACTTTCGATGCTCTGGTCAGTCGCTTCGTGCGTTCTAGCGATGTCTTCCCATGATTGTTACTAATCATCTTTGTGTCGCCGATCATGTTTGTGTCGCCTCCGGAAGTCTGTTTTAGTTTGTTGTTAGGTCCGCTCAAGGACGTATGGGTCAGACAACTCCGCCTTACTTGTAGCAGAGACTGTCCAGCCGATACGGTCCCGCGGCGTTGATGAATCTTGTGCATGGAAAGGGAACGTCGTGTTGTTATATCACCAATCATGGATCTAGGTTCTGAGGAAGCGGCCGCCTACGGATGACGTTGCTTAGTCGATACTTTCGTGGACCGGCACATCCAGCACTTACGTGGTCGCCTGGGTACCCTTCTGATAGTGGTCACATCGTCACGTCAAAACATCAAAGATTCTGGAAGTCTGACCGTGAAAGAGTGCGAGTTCGAGAGTCAAGAAGGCGAAACATCAGCTTTCGGAGTCCCAAAATTGCCTCTAAACTTTTTCTTTGGTGGTCTCGTAGCGATTTCGCATTTACCGAACGGATTTCACGTCATGCTGATCGAAGATTTCTTCGATAGAAGATGTTCTCAAGAGTCGAAGTGATTGCACCTTCCGACTTTCACGGGACATCCTTCCCTCCCGACCGGGCCCGATAGTTTCGGCTTACTGCAGCTTATGTGATGTGACTAAGAAGCTTTACACCCTACCGTAACCTACCTTCCTTTTCGGGAGTGCGAACTGTTCGCAAGCCGTAGATGTGACAACCTTAACAAACTACACTCGCTGTGCTGGCGTGCAGTACCCGTACAAGGCGGTGGGGCAAGCCCTGGAGGTGATCCCCCGAACGCTCGCGCAGAACTGCGGTGTCAACGTCATCAGGGTCATGACGGCGCTGCAAGCCAAGGTGAGGACACCCTCGAAGAACTTAACATCAAAGAGCCCGCGTTGCGTCAGACAGGCAGTACATCACCCGATGTCGATGCTTAGATGCTTGCGTGGCAGGCAAGGCATGCCCAGCTCAGTTGGCGCAAATGCCAACTCATTAAGAGGCTAAGACTCGTGAGACAGGCTTTTGGTAGGGAGTTCGTGACTCACAAGCAAAACGACTCGTGAGTTTCAGAACACCCGACTGGGCATCTCGTCAAACCATGTTCTCTGCGACTGTTGGTCTCGAAATCTTTGGAGTTCTGATCGCTGTTTGTGTTGATAATGCTCAATACTTGAGCTTCTTTTATGCAGCAGGCGTATGACGGCGACACAACTCTTGGTGCATTTGCATACGGGCCAGATAGTGGACGAAATTTGTCCTTGAAACCATCTGTTTGGGAGTTCGAGGATGCCACAAGCGTTTCTATCAAAGGGAAGCGCTGAAGATCCAACCATTTTCTCTTTTGCAGCACGCCAATGGCGCCAACACGACCTTCGGCATCAACGGCAACACGGGCGAGATCGTGGACATGAAGGAGCTCGGCGTGTGGGAGCCTTATGCGGTAAAGGTACAGACGATCAAGACTGCGATAGAAGCGGCGTGCATGCTACTCCGGATCGACGATATCCTGAGCGGCATCAAGAAGAAGCAGGCCGGGGGGGCTCCGGGTCCGAAGACGCAGACCGACGATGGAGAAGGAGTGGACTCAGAAGCAGCGCTCCCAGAATGATCACAAGGACTCTTCTGGATGTGTTTGCTTCATTATACAGAGTTCTATTCAACGAAGCATTGGTTTTTTCGAAACCTCATCTCTTGCCACCCTATGCTTGTGTCGGCTTCCTTGTTGAATCTGAGCTGAGATGCGGTTCGGGTAGCTCAGAGCAACTGGCCCATGAGCACTTGTCAGCATTTCTCGTGAGATTAGTTGGACCCCTTGCGCTTGATTGCAACAGCAATCGGAAGTCCAAAATCCGGACCGTCTCGAGACGAGATAGAGATCCGGCAGGGTGGTCGATTGTCATTGTGAGCCTCGGGCAGTACGCGCTGATTTGCAGTGCATGCTCCATGCAGCTAAAAAGCACCACGCTGCCTCGCCGGCATGGGTCCTTTTACAAAATGCCGACCTTATCAACCTGCCGGCCAGTCAAGCTGCAGGAGTGCGCCCGCGGGCTGCCTGACTGCAAGCTATAGTCTGCATGCCGTCACCATGTTTGATTGGTCATGTTGAATCTGTGGGGGTTATGTTGAATTTGTGGGACCACATAGCTATTACAGGCCGGGCCTACATCCAGATACAATGCAGCATGAGGACGCGATGCATTGAACGTGACGCCGGTCATGATGTACATGACAATCCGCTTGACGTACACATGGCCGGCACGTAACAAAACAATCATCCGAAGATGTGCCCGCGGTGCAGCAGTCGAAATTATACACGTCAACGATCGTTCTGGGCGGTTGTTTTGCATTGCGTTATGCATACGCAGTACTAATATCCCGTCAGTGTGCACTGCATACAGCAGCCCGCCTAATGACAGGGGGCGGCCCGCGCGGCTCACGATCTGACCGTCTATTGCGGCATCCATGAACTGTCATGGGCTGCATGTAAAGAGGCGCGCACGGGCATGCTGCTACATTTCACGGCCATGTGTGACGGTGCCGAATAGTGAGTACAGCAAGTTGGATCCGACCAACAAACTGATGGTGACGCTTGCTCAACCTCATGAAATTGATCCATTTTGGGCTAGATGATTGCATCATATGGAAAAACAGAGCTAAAAGATCTAGTCTTAATATGTAATTCTGGTTGTATTATTACCGAGCTTTACGCCTGGCAGAATAAGATTGCGAGCAAACGTCCGGGCCCCAGCCTGCCTATAAAAACATTCTACCTTGATATTGCCAAAGTCACCTAACTCCTCCGCACCCTACATATGCACTAAGCTTCTAATTTGATCCCTGCTCTTGCGCAGTCTCTGCTTATACATTGAATAGTACAGGGTTCGCAACGTGCTCAAAAATTGCCCGATGAAAACTGACTAAGAAGGTGTTTGACCTGCGGAAACGTTGTACAAGATTCTGATCGGCGGTTTAATCAAACACTTCTGCTTGCGAAGTCCTCAATCCGCCAGCGGATTCCGTTCTGGCTCGACGTACCTAGCTTTAGTCCGCTTTCGCAGTACAGCTCCGTCCTGGAAGTTCCAAACTTTCAGCTGCCGCAGAAATTCTACTGCAGCACGCAGTTTCTTTGGCAAACCGGCCAGGCCCGCCCTACACTAACCCCAACCAGATGCTGCCACGTGGACTGACACCTTTTATTCCACAAAACCCGCTCTCTTACTTCACGGACCCCAACCACATGCTGCCACGTGGATCAACACCTCTGATTCCATGAAACCCGCTTTCTTCTTTCACGGCCGTGTCTGATCCTCGCCTTCGATCTGGGGCATGTGGGCGGTTGACACGTGTCCCCCCTGCATCATTTTCTGGTACGCCAAGAGCAGAGCGGGGAGCAGCTTCTGTTGCTCCCTTTGTTGCGAGTAGTCGTGAAACAGGGAGGCGGGGGCGGCGGGCGCGCAGTCTAGTTCGACGGCGGACCCCCGGAGAGCGTACGCGAGTGTCCGGACCTGCAGGGAAAAGGAACGGATCAGAACCATGAACGGAACCGGAAACGAAGCGGAACGATCTAGCGTCCACTGACTGCCATTGCTGCTTGAAACGAACAAGGAGCGAAGTATGGGATCGAGCAGGAACGGGCGCCTTGAAATCGCAACATACGATAGGGGAATGGTCTCAAAGACGGTAAGCATGAGGCCGATCGCTTTCGAAGCTCGCGGAAAACGTTCACGATTTCTTCCGTACGAACGAGACCGTTCAATTCTACTTGAGGGCTTATCACAGCCGTCCGATGGCCCTCACCTGGCGCTCCAGGTCCGCATTCGCGAGCGCCTTCATGTGCAGCTCCCGCTCGAGCCCCTCGGCCCGCGCCTGGAACTGCGCGAGCGCTTCTCGCGCGCGCATCTCTCCCCCCTCTAGTTTCTGGACGTGCCACTCGAGGGCCAACTTCTCCGCCTGCCAAGTGGACTGCTGCGCCTGAAGCTGAGCGACCCGCAGCTCGAGGGCGCGCATGCGGTCCTTGACGTCATCCTGTAAGAGAGGGATGACACTTCATGAGCGGTTTGGGAAAAGGAAAGATGTTGCTTGAGAGAACATGGCAAGACCCTGATTATCAGCCAAAAAGTGGATAACCAGAAGCACTTTTGAATCCGGACACCTCGAGCTTTGCCCCGGTTTGGGAGGATGACAAAAAATGAAAAGGACCCACGCTTATGCTCAACAGCGAGAAACCAAAACTCATACTCGTTAACAACGACCATCGAAAACAACGACGGCTAAAATGCGTAAGACCACAGACAAAAGAGTAGTAGAGTTTCGTTGCCTGACCAGCTGGACTTGCATCACAGGTTTTGTCGAAAGCACATTTTCGCCTATCCCTCAACTGACGAGTTTCACTCACCGCCATTCCATAGCCAGCTCCATTGTGCCCTGTCGTCCGGGGGGGCGTCGCCGTCGCAGCCCTGACCATAAAGTCGTCCGCTGCCTCCTGCCGACCACTTTTGGCTGGCGTCCAGAGGTCGGTTTGAGTGCTCGGGGTCGCGTAGCTCGTTGAGGGGGGGTAGCTCAGCCTCGCGGAGACGGCGGGGCCGCCCTTGAAGCGAGGGGCGGGGGGAATGTCAAACGGCATCTTTACGTGCCCGGGAAGAGCCCCCGGGACCGCTTCGTCGCTGTCTGACGTCAACCCCGAGGCCGGGGGGCTCCGATGCTCGTTGCGCACCCGCACTTTCTTCGTCCAGGGGGTCTCCTCCGCGGGGCGTTTCCGCCCCCCCTCGGCGGTCGCCTTTCCGCCGTCGGAGCTCGTCGCGCTGTCGCTCATTTGGGGAAGCTTAGCCGTGCGCACGAAGTCGACCATCGGGGAGGCGTTGTGGGGAAGCTCTAGAGTTCCCAGGGGGGGTGTGCTGCGCCCATACATGGCCTTAAATGAGGACAGGGGGAGGTCTTCTTCGGGCGTCTGGAGGGGGGTGCCCGCCTTGGTTGTCGCAATCTTGGTCTTTTCGCGGGCCTTGCGCATTGAGCGCGCAATTATTGCACGGATCGACGGGATGGACTGCTCGGGGAAGCGGCATTGGATGGCGGCGACGACTCTATCAACAAGGCCTTGATCCTGGAAGCAAATCGAAAAGCAAGATTCAAAAGGAAGGTCGAATCGAAAGGTGTTTTGTTGAGATGGAACAGCTTCGACTTTGTTAAGAGGTTCAAACATTTGACGATGGAACAGCTTCGACTTTGTTAAGAGGTTCAAACGTTTGACAAGACCTTGTTTGGCCTTTGACAAGACAATCACTAGACTTAGCAAACTTCGTCCTCCGAAAAGAGTCAGGAGCCTGGTCAAAGGAACAACAAAGAAAAAACTGTATGGAAGAACAGCTGTTTTCCAGGCCAAGCTCGACTTTCACCAAACATCTGTCACATCACTAGGCAAAGAAGATCAGCTCAACCGGTCTGGGAACGTCAGAAGTTTGTCTGGGACTATTGAAGCTCTTTCTGGGAGATTGAAAGTTTGTAGCACCCCAAAATTCTTTAAGGAGAACTCTGCGAAGTCAAAACGAAAGCTCAATGAAGATTGAGAACGAAGAAGCTCAAATGAGACGCATTATCAGCCCAGGCCCCCCTGTTATCCCATTCTTTGTCATTCTAATGTCAAGCTTTGCATTTCAATAATCGTCTGGCTGAGGAGCTTCTGAGATTCTGACTGAAGACATTCTGGCCAACTCAGAAGCCTACATGTTGCCAGACATGGAAAGCTTTCCTCGAGTTGACCAGCTAGTCACCAAGTACTTTATCCCCTCAACCAACAGTCTCCAACTCAAGGTGACCGACTCCCGAGAGGGTAGACATCCAACTCTCCAGCTCAGTCCAACCCAGAAACTTCTTTTCCACTCTACATGATCAAGATTCCAGACCCAAAGCCCCCTCGCTAGCCAGTCAACCCATCTAAACCTACACCCACATCTTCAGACTTTGCTCTCAAAACAACCCCTGATTAGCCCGCTAACCCACCTGGTCCCGGATCCACTTGTCCTTGTCCAGCAGTGCGTGCCACCACCTTCTGCACTCGGACATGAGCAGGTCCTTGCGCGCCTTCTGGTCCCGCTCCTCGCATGGCGCCATGTCTAGTTCCTCCAGCTCGCACAGCGCGCGCGCGCGCGCAATCTGGAGCGCGCTGCGCTGCTCGTGGGTCATCGCACCTTCCTCGAGGGTGTTCGCACCGGGGGGGGAAGACTCTCCCTCCTGCTCGAGCAGGGGCTCCAGCTTGGGGAACTGGTCCATAGTGGGCGGTGTGAAAAGGCTCTCAGCTGGCGCTGGTGGGGTGTGAAAAGGTCCTAGTGGTTGCTGGCGCTATTTGTGAACTGCCACAATCTGTGACCTGGGACAATCGCAAACTTGGCGAATGGAAGGGAGAAACTTTCAGATTCTCAACGTTGGGGGCGGCGACATTGGACAGCTGGCGTGTCACAAGACATTAAGCGGCCAGTAATGATTCACTTGGGTGGTTGGACGTAGTAATCAAGGGAAGTGGGTCTGCTGGGAGCCCTTACAACGGCACTTTTCGACCCCTCACTTATGTTAACCACCACTAGAGTCTTCTTACGGAAGCCGCTTGCAGCGTCGTCTGCTTTCCCTACTGCAAGAGACAGACGACTTCCCGCATGTCTCAAAACGTTTTGCACCACCGCAACACTACCACCAAACACCCAGAAAGGCCCTTGCCAGCTTCTCTCTTCCTCCTTACACCGCTGCGGCGCAGGTCGTCATGCAGAGGGAAAAGTCGCCACAGGAAGATGCTGAAACGCAAGTTGTTCAGGAGATTCTCTTTACTGGTAGGATGGCCGGAAATAGAATGCTTCGTGAGAAGTACTCCTCTCTTCCTTTGGTCCCTTCTTCTTGCAATAGGTATGGTCACGTGTATCAATCAGGCGCGAGGGGGTCACAGAGCTTCATGAGCCGTACCCCAGTTTCTTGCACTCTGACAGTACTTTCGCACGGTTGCTGACAGAATCTCATCTTGACGAGACTGATTACACTTTGCGGAGGCTTTTCCAGTCTGTGAAGGCTCACAAGTCCATATCCAAGTCTGGCACTAGCTCAGGCTGCCTGACAGTCTTGCATGCGCCAGGCGAAAATGGCGCGCATTCCAAAGTTTTGTATCTATTATAACTGTATTGGTATGATCAGAGTTGGTTGGGGCTGGGCGGCAAAGCAGCCAAGTCCTTTCTTTTCGAGAACAACGGCCCCACATGTGACATGGTGCCACCCGCAACTGTTTCGGGTCAAGTGCGCCCCAAGATTGACACACAGGGCGCCAGCAGCTTGTGTTTCTCTTGCTGCCTGCCATCCTTTGTGTCAATGACACGGTTGACAGGTTCAGAAAACGCATGATTGGTTTGGAAAGCTGGCGCGCTTGTGGCGCACTTCAATGCTCGAGCGTTTTCCGTACTTGCTAGCACAAGTGCCCAGCAGGGTGGCCCGTACATGAAGAAAGGGGAAAACAGTACATATGTACACTGAATTTGAATCCCTCCCCTCAGACCTCTACGCCCCCGAGGGCTGGAGCAGATACCTACTACCTACTGAAGATCCCAGCCCATAAACTTGGCCGGCAACAACTTTGAACCAACCAGAGGGCTGGAGCAAGTCTTCGGAGTCTCCGCTGTCTGAAGCAAGTCATCAGAGTCACGAGCGACATTTTAGGGTTGCACTGGGCGCCTGCCCTGCTTGCGTACATTTCTCAATGCATCCCTGACACGTGTCGCGTGATAAATCCGGAACAAAACGGTCAACGGTGCCCGACGGCCACAAGTCGTCGCAGGCGTGTGCCCTAAAAAATGGAAGGCTCAGATTGTTGCTCAGGTCTGAGCAAAAGTGGAGGCAACCTCCGAATCGTGCGGCGAGGAAATCGCCCCGCGCCCCCGGAACGAGCTTCCGAAGAAACGGGTCCGTAACGCTTAGCAGCAACATACTGACCGGCGTAACTATGACATTCAGTGCGCACTGAGAACTCTACCCTGATTGACCGGCGGACTCCGAGAGTTGTGGCAATTATGTACGAATCCCTGTTTACAGCAAACCGTGCGGCTCGTTCCCAACTGGGTACAAGTTTTAGGTACCGGTACGTGTTACCTGAAAAGGATTCGATCAGTACCTGTATGAAGCTACCCGGTGCAATGGCTTGGGTAAAATCATAACCGACCAGAATTGCCGGCAAAGAGCACCCTAATCCACTCAATTACCACGCTAACCGTATCCGTCCTCCGGGCGCGTGTCTTATAAATAGGTAATCTACCTATTGCCAACTTCCAAGTTACGTACTTCTACGAACCGTCTGCGCGGTACCCACACGCGCCTCCTGACTAACTGTACCTAGGTATGTCAGGATGTCTCCATGTATCAGACGAGGTACCCGGTACCGTACCCGTTCGTAAGGGTACCAGTAACCATACCCTGCCGTAATAGCCGGTACCGGGTACTCTTTGAAGAAGCAGGTAGCCTGTACATTGTGCCTAGGTGTACACTTGGTACAATCAAACTCGAAAGGTGCAAGAAGCAGATTTATGGAGTAAATCTGCAATGTTTGGTCGGACAGTTACAGACGAAACTCGACGAGGACGGGTGAGGTTAGGTGAAGGTTAGGATGGGTTACTGTGTGCTGTCCTCCACGAGAATGCTGTGTTGGTTAAGCAGGAGATTCCTCTTCGTTTCATTAAACTATGATCCAGATTCTTATATTGCAATAATGCAACGAGTGTTCCGGCAAAATTGGCTAAATCTATGGAGGCCACTAGTGTACGGCGAAGCTTGCAAATGGTCCCCACGTGACCACTGCACTTGCAAGTTGCCACTCAGCACTGAGCAGTGTCCATTATACCTACATGGTCACTTTTTGTGTGTTGTATACACGCTTCTTTCTTGAG